GAAGAAGAGTCCCAACCCGAAACATCAGCTTTCCTGCTCCTCTGATGCTGCCTGACCTGCTGTGTTCCTCCAGCTCCACACTGTGTTATCTCTGACTCCAGCATCGGCAGTCCTTACTATCTCTTAAGAAAGTCTAACTTTCCTTTCCACTGCCGCAGTCCCACTCAGGGCTTTCCAGCCCTTGCCATGCCTCCGCCACAGTCCCACTAATTAAGTGCAGAATATGTAAAAGGGTTTCTGTTAGGGTGCAATTAGCATCCAAAAATGCAAAATTTTAAAATTTTGAAGAACAATATTCCTGAAGTTCTACTCAAACCCATTTGCGAATCACTGAATGCAAAATCTGCCATAAGCCAGAGTATTTTGGCAGTGTTTGAAAATGTAATACTTTTTAGTTTTGTTTTAAATTTTTTTTCCTTGGTATATTGAAGAATTATGTTGATGAAATGTGACTAATAAAGCTGAAAACCAATTTCACACAAAAATAAGCATTTTTAATCAACGGTCATCAATACATCTATGAATAGTTGACATTATATCACTGATTAGGACCTTAAATAGTCGTTTTATCGTACAGAACTTGAGTATTGCTGAATAAAACAAAAATCATTTTGTCAAAACTTTTAGTCTTGCACTCTTTAATTTTCAAGAATTTGCAAGTTGAAAACTAAAATTTATACTGTATGCAAAGAAAGTGCTGATTGGTTGGCAAGTGGATTCTGGTTCTTAGAGGCATTGAAGGATGCACCCATTACTGGCAATTGAAAGTTAATTGTCAGAATTAAAATTCATGTACCACATTACACGTTTGTGTGACAGACAATCGGTACTTTTGGTTTGATGGCAGCATTCTGTTACTGGCAAATACTTTTGGGTTGTTACTGTAAAGTAACAGAGTTAAGCTTTGGTGCCACTTTGGTACCAGGTACATAGGCAGCACTTCCGAAAGATTGGCTGATAATGTCAAACAACATATCACTTTGGCAATAAGCTAGGTATGGACCACATTGAATCAGCCCACCCTTGCAAATCTTGCAACATATTGTCAAGCATTGGCTGTATTTCCCTGATTAGACAACTATTATAGGATAACCCTGAGTGTGCGAAGAATTATGGTGTAATCAATTCATGGATTTCAGCTACGGTCGCAGCAAGCCACATTAGAATACGATGGAAGCCACAAATATTAATATACATGGCCTACTCTTTGCAAAAGACACGTACATGCACTGTGCCTGTTTGAACTCAACAAAATTGGTGACAGCCATTCGCTGGTTCATTTCTCAGGGCAAATAGGGACTAGTTTAGTTTGGACCGAAGGGTCTGTTTCCATGCTGCATGACTCTGTGACTCTTGCACCTAAAACGCCCAGCTTATTTTTTATGAAATTCCTTGCGGTCCAGCAAATGAGCACAGTTAGTACAAATTCTATTGATGATTAATTCATCTTAGGGCTGATGGCAGGTTTGAGGCTGGAACCCAATTCTACAGTAACCCTGTTTTTTTAAAAAGATAGCATAGGGCAGAAACTCAAGTTGCTCTAAACAGAAAGTGTGCTTAAAATTCCACAACCTTTTAAAGACCAATCATGCAGATTCCTGTTGAATTGTGCCCGAGAAAACAGCACATGCCTTACAGTGAAATCACTACAGGTCAGTGTGGATGGGGAAGTGGCAGGAAAGGCAGCTGCAGAATTTTTCTAGTTGCCCCACCTGGAAACCCACCTGTGGAGCAGCAGTCACACTTTGAGGCCTGATAGGCAAAGTTTAAAGTTCCACTACCACTGAAATTCACAAGAAACAACTTTATTGGGATTATTAGCATGATATGCTCACTTACTGATAATAAAACCACAGCTCAGTGTATGTTGTGACAAGGTAAATTCGCTGACCATGCCCAGCATCCTTCTTCTCATTTTCATTCTCCAAAGCAAACACATGAACACCCTTTAAAACAAAAATTCAAAATAAACAGAATTTAGGCACACATTTCTATTTAGCCTGATGTTTGCTAAAGTATTTCAATGCTATTATGTTTTGGTTGTTATACATTTCTCATTTTCTCTCCATTCTCATTTACTCTCCTGCCCAGATACTGAGGGGAATGCTTCGATCCTGAAGAGTGAGCGAGTTAAGTGTGAGGGAGAGAGGGGGAGGGAGTGTGTGTGTGGGGGAGGGGGGAAGAGTGTGAGTGTGTCGGGGGAGACAGAGAGAGAGAGACTGAGGGCGAGAGACAGAGAGAGTGTGAAGGAGAAAGAACAAGAATGTGTAAGTGGGGGCACACAGACTTTTGCATTATCGGATAGTGTGCGAGTTCCCTGGCTCGAGTCTGTCCTGGTCCATAGGGGTGGGCTGGTAGTTGCCACCTACAAATAGAAGATATCCAAAACAACTATTTAAGGGTCTTTTATGCCCTATTGTCAGAGCAGAATGCAATCTCCCAGGTGACCTCTAAGGAACAGTACAGCAATCTGAAGGCAGCTTCCTGCCAACCAAGCACTCCCGGAAGGCTTAGAGGCCATTCCTTTATGCCTGACTTCTACAATTGCATTCCACTTTTACAGCAGTTCACATTCCCCCTCCTCCACCACTGTGTTGTGCCATCTGCTGAGGCCATTTAAAAAAAAAATGGATCAAAACAGTTAAGAAATGTGGAACTTCCATCTTGGAATAACCGCTCAGTCAGTTACCTGAGAAGGCAGCCTGCTACTCATTCTAATCTGGACTGGCTCCAATTGACTCTCGTTTCAGAGCTTGCCCAGGGTCCTTAATTGATTGAATGTTTGCCCTCCAGTCTCTAACTGGCTAATTTGGGCAGAAATAAAATCACAGATGAATGAGAGTTTCTCACACATCTGATGCCCATATAGGCCTGACAGTAAGATTGTAAATCCAGGTGAAAAATCCTGACCAGAATTTCTATCTATGGGAGATACACATTCTCTTAAGGTACCATCATTGCCATTCTTCACAAGTAAGCACACAAGGCAAAAGATTCAGCAACTGATGTTTCATTCCTATCACCAAATATGAATGTTACATCCTCTAGTTGATCAGCTGCTGTTCTTAAAGCTGAAAGTGTGATGGTAGTTGAACATATGCTCTTCTACTGTGATGCCATCCACTGTCAATTTAAATGCCTAGTATCACTAGTATTGCTTTTAAAGAAAAATTTAAATTTCAAATAATTCTTGTTGACCTGTTTTAGATATTTTTTCAGATAGCATTTTACTTGTACATTGGCCGAAATGATTCTTCTCTGTCAAAGATGCTCTTTGATCCAAATAATTTTGTTTTTATTCTGCTCTTGACATCTGACTAAAACCTTATGATATAAATCTTAGCACAGATTATTACCAATCATGGAGTTATTTTACAAATACCCATGTATATTAGAAGAATAAGAATCTATCCAAGACATTGGAAGACTGGTGTGTGTGTGTAGCATAACAATGGAAATTAAGACTTCTGATTCTAATGAGTTACGTCTTTCAAATATAAGTAAACTAGATCAATGTCTACAGATTAACTTTCATGATTGCATTCTACTTATTATGCAACTTTCTATTAAGCCATTGAAGTAGAAGAAACCATTAATAATCAGGAAGTTATGGTTCAGGTGTTATTTCCATAGCTGATCTGGCAACAAAAAAAAAATCAACAAAACAATCCTAAAAAGGGCCACTTCAACAAACAACAGTTAGAGATAGAAACACACACAGAAAAGATGGCACTTGAGGATTTCACAAAATACTTAACAGCTAATGAAGTACTTCCAAAAAAGAAACACTATCACAATGCAAAGTAAATACAATAGCCAATTTGCTCACAGGAAGCTCCCATGAACAGCAATGAGAAAAGTAACAAGATAAGTGATATGTAATGGCACTAGTTGAAGGATGAATATTCACCAAGAAACCAAACATTCAATTCTTTGTTTGAAAAGGGGCATGGGTTGTTCTACAAACATTTGAGAAGGCAGACAGAATTGCAATTTAGTGTTTCATGTGAATGGCAGCACAACCTCCTTTAAATGTTGCATTGAACTTCCATCCTGGGCTACATGCTCAGGTCTTTGGATTGTGGTTTGAAAGAATATCCTCTGACTCACTGGCAGGAATGCTACTACTGTGCCAGCATGATGCAAATATACGTCAAGCCACTGACAATGGCGGAGTGAGTAGCTTAATGGGAAGTGTGGCAGGTTGCTATCTGACATTCGCTGAAAAGTGACATCTCATTGAAAATGCCTAATGCCCAAATTGTGCACTTCCCAGAGATCACAATCTTCAGCAAAGGCAGACAGGTTTGTAAAGCCCATGTCAGTCAGTTTGTGAACTTCAGAGGAGGTGAGGGTCAGTGTGAACTCGATGAGCCAAATGGCCTGCTTCCATATTTAGAGATTCTATGATTCTAAGTGAAGTCAGGGACAGCATAAAAGCAAAAGCATATAATGTGGTGAAGATGAGTGGGAACTAGAGGATTGAGAAGACTTGAAAAATCAGCAGAGGACTATTAAAAAGCAATAAATGGGGAGAAGATGAAATGAGGGTAAGCTAGATTTATAAAAGAAAGAGTGGACATTGGACGCTGGAAAATGAGGCTGGAGAAGTAGTAATGGGGAAGAAAGAAATGGCAGAGGAATTGAATAGATACTTTGCATCAAACTTCACAATAGATGACAATCAAGAAAGTTGGGGGCAGAGTGAGTGTAGTGGCTATCACTAACAAGGAGGTATTGGGGAAGCTGAAAGTTCTGAAGGCAGATAAATCACACAGTGTAGATGGACCAGAACAACAGGGTTCTGAAGGAGACAGCTGAGGAGATTGTGGAAGAATTGGTGGTGATCTTTCAGGAATCACTGGAGACAGGAAGGGTCCCAGAGTACTGGAAAACGGCAGATGTAATACACCCGTTTAAGAAGGGAGGGAGGCACAAGACAGGAAATTATAGACTGGTTACCAATGACTGATGTCAGGCTAAGAGTCCATTATTAAAGATGAGTCTGTGGAAAACTTGGAACTGCATAGTAAAATAAGGCTGAGTCAGCACAGCTTCATCAGGAGGAAGTCATGGCTGGCAAATCCAATCGAATTTGTTGAGGAAGGAATGAGCAAGTTAGACAAAGGAGAGCCAATAGTCTTGATCTATTTGGATTTCCTGAAAGTCTTTGATAAGTTGCCACACAAGAAGCTGCTAAATAAAAGCCCATGGTGATCGGGGCAAGATATTAGCATGGATAAAGGATTTGTTGACTGGCAAAAGGCAGACAGTGGGAATAAAAGGGTCTTTTTCAGAATGGCAGCTGGTGACAGGTGGAGTTCCACAAGGGTCAGCGTTGGGACCACAATTATTCTTGTTATACATTAACCATCTGGACAAAGGAACTGTGGAGGCCAATCATTGAGTGTATCTAAGACAGAGATGATAGGCTCTTGATTAGCAAAGGGTTCAAAGGTTATGAGGAAAAGGCAGGAGAATGGAATTGTGAAACAAATTAGCCATGATCAAATGGCACAGCAGACTTGATGGGGCAAATGGCCTTATTCTGCTCTTATGGTCAGTTCCAGTAGCTATGTTTTTGGCTGTTTTAAAGTCTGGAGATTGAATGAATTAATTAATTTAGTTTCTTGAGCCTTTCAAAGACTTACTAATTTTATTAAAGAAATCATGAGTACAATCCATAAAAGATATTGAGTACATTGGTACGAACAAGGTATGAGATTTGTGGAAGGGCACTGGTGTCATGGAAGTAGCATGGGGATAATGAAATGGCATGGCACATGGATAATCTAACAGAGCATAGGTGGGGAGGGTGGGTGCATGAGGGCTTAGGTGCCCAATATCTTGCATAAAGCTGGACTGATGTCCCAGTTCATGGATGTAGGCTTCTCATCTCGCAATCTCAGCATTAAGCTTATTTTGGTCCTACCTCAAGCTCATTCTAGAAGCAGCAGTGTTAAAATGCAACTTGCCCTCAATTCTCCAGGATGAAAAAACCCAGTTTGTGTGTGTTAATTGAGACCTTGGCAGCAATGTCAGGAAATGGCCTGATCCACGATTCCTGAGCTAATAATGAAGATCCAGTTCAAAGCAATCACTTTAAGAATGGTAAGGCCATCAGACACTTTCTACAGATATAATGCAACTACATACACCACTTAAGCTATTTCTAACCATGTGAATTTCTGGTAGTCAAGAAGTTGTGAGGTTACAATGCAATATCTGTTTTATCATTGGTATAAATTCACTAAAGCCTTGGACAATTAGGTTGATATGGAAAGCGTTTCTTTAGCAGTTGAACAAAAGGACAAAGTATAACTATCTTGCTCGGAGATCATAAAGATATTTTATAAACAAGGCATTACACTAATCCGAGGTAAGAGTGAAAGGAAAGTTATCTGACTTTTATCACCGCAGTTTACAATGAGACAAATATTGCATGGAGTTTAATAGTCAGGTTTATGAATTAATATCCACAAGAAAATAGTAGTATTTGAATTGTGGTACAACAGTGCAAATTACTGTACTTTCATCTCTATTGCTGCAATAAATAGAGGATTGCAACACTTCAGGGTAAGACTGGACAATCAATTGGTAGGTGATGGAGTCCAACTTTTGTACAGTTCTAAACAGCCGAAAAAAAGATCAAAGGCTTCAGGAAAGTACATGAAATGGAATAAGTATAGATTAAATCAATATACAAACTTCCATGTTTTTGATTAAAAGAAACAAACTTTCACACAGTGTCATCCTTTTTAGTTTTCTAAATACATACCTAACAAACAGGGCTATGGTTTTAGAAACTCCAGTTTTTTTTTTCTATTCATTCGTGGGATGTGGGCGTCGCTGGCTGGCCAGCATTTCTTGTCCATCCCTAGTTGCCCTTGAGAAGGTGGTGAGCTGCCTTCTTGAACCGCTGCAATCCTCCCGCTGTGGGTTGACCCACAATGCTATTAGTGAGCGAATTCCAGGATTTTGACCCAGCGACTGTGAAGGAACAGCGATATATTTCCAAGTCAGGATGGTGAGTGACTTGAAGGGGAACTTGGAGGTAGTGGTGTTCCCATACGTCTGCTGCCCTTGTCCTTCTAGGTCGAAGTGGTCGTGGGTTTGGAAGATGCTGTCTGAGGATCTTTGGTGAATTTCTGCAGTGCATCTTGTAGATAGCACACACTGCTGCTACCGAGCATCGGTGGTGGAGGGAGTGAATGCTTATGGATGTAGTACCAATCAAGAGGGCTGCTTTGTCCTGGATGGTGTCAAGTTTCTTGAGTGTTGTTGGGGCTGCACTCATCCAGGCAAGTGGGGAGTATTCCATCACGCTCCTGATTTGTGCCTTGTAGATGGTGGACAGGTTTTGAGGAGTCAGGAGGTGAGTTACTCGCTGCAGTACTCCTACCTTCTGGCTTGCTACTGTATTAATGTGGTGAGTCCGGTTGAGTTTCTGGTCAATGGTAGCCCCCGGGATGCTGATAGTGGGGGGATTCAGTGATGGTAACACCATTGAATGTCAAGGGACGGTGGTTAGATTGTGTTTTATTAGTGATGGTCATAGCCTGGCATTTGTGTGGTGCGAATGTCACTTGCCACTTGTCAGCCCAAGCTTGGATATTGTCCAGATGTTTTGCATGTGAACATGGACTGCTTCAATATCTGAGGAGTCATGAACGGTGCTGAACATTGTGCAATCATCAACAAACATCCCCACTTCTGACCTTACGATGGAGTGAAGGTCATTGATGAAGCAGCTGAAGATGGTTAGCCTAGGACACTACCCTGAGGAACTCCTGCAGAGATGTCCTGGAGCTGAGATGATTGACCACCAACAACCATGACCATCTTCCTACGTGCCAGTATGACTCCAACCACCGGAGAGTTTGCCCAGATACCCTTTGATTCCAGTTTTGCTAGGACTCCTTGATGCCACACTCGGTCGAATGCAGCCTTGATATCAAGCCTCTCATCTCACCTCTCGAATTCAGTTCTTTTGTCCATGTTTGAACCAAAGCTGTAATGAGATCAGGTGCTGAGTGGCCCTGGCGGAACCCAAACTGGGCGTCAACTGAGCAGGTTATTTCTGAGCAGGTGCTGCTTGACAGCACTGTTGATGACACCTTCCATCACTTTACTGATGATCGAGAGTAGACTGATTGGGAGGTAATTGGCCGGGTTGGATTTGTCCTGCTTTTTGTGTACAGAACAAACTTGGGCAATTTTCCACATTGTCGGGTAGATACCAGTGTTGTAACTGTACTGGAACAGCTTGGCTAGGGGAGCGGCAAGTTCTGGAGACAAGTCAAGTCTTCTGTAATATTGCCAGAATGTTGTCAGTGCCTGTAGACTTTGCAATATCTAGTGTCTCCAATCATTTCCTGATATCACGTGGAGTGAATCGAATTGGCTGAAGACTAGTATCTGTAATGCTGGGGACCCATTGGAGGAGGCAGAGATGGATCATGCACTCAGCACTTCTGGCTGAAGATTGCTGTGAATGCTTCAGCCTTATCTTCTGCAGAGCTTGGCTCTTCCATCATCGAGGATGGGGATATTTGTGGAGCCTCCTCCTCCAGTGAGTTGTTTAATTGTCCACCACCATTCACAACTGGATGTGGCAGGACTGCAGAGCTTAGATCTGATCCATTGGCTGTGGGATTCCTTAGCTCTGTCTATCACTTGCTGCTTTCGCTGTTTGTCATGCAAGTAGTCCTGTTTGGTGGCTTCACGAGGTTGATATCGCATCTTCAGGTATACCTGGTGCTGCTCCTGGCATGCCCTCCTGTATTTTCCATTGAACCAGGGTTGATCCACTGGCTTGATGGTAATGGTTGAGTGGGGGATATGCCGGGCCATGAGGTTACAGATTGTGCTGGGGTACAATTCTGCTGCTGTTAATGGCCCACAGTGCCTCATGGATGCCTAGTCTTGAGTGCTTGATCTGTGCGAAGTCTGTCTCATTTAGCACAGTGATAGTGCTACACAACACAATGCACGTCGTTCTCAATGTGAAGGCAGGACTTCTCTCCACAAGGACTGTGCGATGATCAATCTTACCGATACTGTCATCGATAGATGCAACTGCAGCTGCAGCTGGCAGATTAGTAAGGAGGAGGTCAAGTATGCTTTTCCCTCTTGTTGATTCCCTCACCACCTGCCGCAGACCCAGTCTAGCAGCTATGTCTGTTAGGACCCAACCAGCTTGATCAGTAGTACTGCTGCTGAGCCACTCTTGGTGGTGGACGTTGAAATCCCCCACCCAGAGTACATTTTGTGCCCCTGTCATCCTCAGTGCTTCCTCTAAGTGTTGTTCAACATGGAGGATTACCGATTCATCAGCTGAGGGAGGACAGTACACGGTAATCACCAGGAGGTTTCCTTGCCCACGTTTAACCTTAAGCCATGAAGCCTTCAACATTGAGGACTCCTAGAGCAACACCCTCCCGACTGTATATCACTGTGCCTCCACCTCTGCTGGGTCTGTCCTGTCGTGGGACAGGACATATCCAGGGATGGTGATGGTGGTGACTGGGACATTGTCTGTAAGGTATGATTCTGCGAGTATGACTATGTCAGGCTGTTGCTTAAATAGTCTGTGAGACAGCTCTCCCAATTTTGGCACTAACCCCCAGGTGTTAGTGAGGACGACTTCGCAGGGTCGACACGGCTGTTTCTGCCGTTATCTTTTCTGGTGCCTAGGTCGCTGCCAGGTGATCTGTCCAGTTTCATTTCTTTGAGACTTTGTAACGATTGGTATAACTGAGTGGCTTGCTAGGCCATTTCAGAGGGCAGCTGAGAGTCAACCATATTGCTGTGGGTCTGGAGTCACATGTAGGACAGACCAGGTGAGGGTGGCAGATTTATTCCCCTGAAGGACATTAGTGAGCCAGATGGGTTTTTCCGACAATTGGCAATGATTTCACGATGATCAGTAGATTCTTAATTCCAGGCTTTTTTTAAAATTCAAATTCCACCATCTGCCATGGTGGGATTCGAACCCGGGTCCCCCAGACCATCAGCTGAGTTTCTGGATTAATAGTCTAGCAATAATACCACTAGCCCAACGCCTCCCCCAGTTGTTCAGAGAATGCTTACTTCTTTCCTAGGAATCTGGATGTTATTCATTGTACAATGAATCTCAATTCACATTTCTAAAATACAACAATATATTTTACTTTACCGCCTTACAACTCTTGGCAAAATTAAAAGCTTGATGCTGGCGATGAAACAACTTCCAAACTGATGACGGTTGCCATGGTTTTGAAAGTTTTGGTCTGTAAGTCTGGCTGATGGGGTTTTTCTGATAACTGCTTGCCAAAGTTTCAATGTCCTTAATCCTTTGCTGCCAGTTCTTCTTCATACTCTGAAGAACGGTATAACAATTAGTTGAAGCTCTCTTAAGATCACAAAACAAATTAGGTTCAGGAATGTTAACATTTCTTCTTAGTTTCATATCTCATTTGCTTTATTTGTCAAAAAAGGATATACAGATATAATGACCACTTAAACATACTTGCCACAAGTGCATAACTGTTTGGTAATAAAATTTGCCTTTCTTCCCCTCCTAATATATTAATTCCCAATATTTAAAATGTTTACCTGTAATGAATACTTTGAGTGGATTGCTCTTTAGTTTCCTTTGTTTTTCTCCACAAGAAAACTAAAAGGAGAAAGAAAGTGTAATATTGACATCAATTGAATTTAAAATAAGTGATGAGAAACAATGGGTTAGCTGCTCAACCTTATGACATGTTCTCACCCCACTAAAAACACATGCAGCAAGTAAATGTAATACTGGGGGGTAGGCGGGGGAAGGTGGTGGTGGTGGCAGTGGTGGCGTAATGGTAAAAGTAAAAATGGCTGGTCTAGTAATTCAGAAGCCCAGGCTAATGTTCTGGGGTGTTGGTTTAAATCCCACAAAGCAGATGGTGAAATTCTATTTTAAAATATAAAATTCTGTAATAAAATAGCGACCATGTAACCACCATCAATTGTTTCAAAAACCCATCTGGTTCATAAATGGGATCTAGGGATAGGAATCTGCCATCCTTTTTCAGGTCTGGCCTATATGCAACTCCAGACCTACAGCAATGCATTTGACTCTTAACTGTCCCCTGGCCAATTAGGGATGGCCCAATAAATACTGGCCGAGCCACTGTTGCTCACATCTCAACAACAAATTTTAAACAAAAGTCATTTGTTTCTTTTGATGTGGAGGTGCCAGTGTTGGACTGGGGTGGATAAATTCGCTTCACCTGATGAAACAGCAGTGCTCCAAAGCTTGTGATTTCAAATAAAGCTGTTGGGACTATAACCTGGTGTTGTATGACATCTAAATTTTGAGATTCGTTCGCTCACTGAGCTGGTTCGTTAGTTCGCAGACATTTCATTACCCTGCCAGGTCACATCATCAGTGCAGCCGCCGATAAAGCACTATTGTGTTTTCCCACCTGATACTTAAACTCTGGGGTCCATTAGATTTGATTACCTCATTTCTGGTTTTCCTTCGCAGTGGTGTATATATAGGGTCTAGTTCTATGTGTTTGTTGATGGCCTTCTTGGTGGAGATTGAGGCCTCTAGGAATTCCCATGCTTGTCTCTGTTTGGCCTGTCCTAGGATCCTGGTGTTGTCCCAATCGAACTGGTGGTTCTTCTTATCCGTGTGAACGGAGATGAGTGAGTCTTTTTGTTGCTACTTGGTGTTCATGTACTCGTGGACAATTTTCTTCTTGTCTGTCCAATGTAATGTTTGTCACAGTCCTTGCATGGAATTCTGTATATTATGTTGGTTCTGTCCAAAGTGGGTAAGGGGTCCTTGGTTCAAGTTAGCAGTTGGCGTAGGGTTGACATGGGTTTGTGTGCTACTCTAATGCCCAATGGTCATAGGAGTCTTGTGGTCAGTTCAGATATTTTCTTGATGTATGGTAGCATGAGGTGTGTGTTAGGGCATGTGGTATCTTCCTGTTGTTGTTTGTGTGATAGGCATCGTCGGATCCAGTTGTTCGGGTATCTGTTGTCCTTAAATACTTGGAGGAGGTACTCTTCTTCTTTTTGGCATAGTTGCTACAGCGTGTTGCTGTTTGTTTAAATAGTGTTTTCACGCAGCTTTGTTTGTGGGTGTTGGGGTGGTTACTGATGAAATTCAGTACTTGGTCAATGTGTGTGGCTTTTCTGTGTACTTCATCAGGAATTCCCCGCTGGCCCTGCGTTCTACCATGATGTCCAGGAATGGGAGCAATTCGTTCTTTTCCTCTTCCGTGGTGAATCTGATGCCGGTGAGAGTGTTGTTTATTAGTTGGTGTGTCTCCTCTAGTTTGGTCTGTTTGATGATGACGAAAGTATCATCCACGAATCGGATCCATAGTTTGGGTTGGATTTGCGGAAGGGCTATGCTTTCGAGTCTCTGCGTCACTGCTTAAGCTATTAGTCTGGAGATAGGTGACCCCATGGGTGTCCCGTAGATCTGTTCATTGATCTGGCTATTAAAAGTAAAGATGGTCATGAGGTATAGGTCCAGTATTTTCAGCATGTAGTCTGTGGAGATGGTGTCACTCGAGTCTCGTTCTTTTAGCAGTGTTGCTAGGGTTTCTCTTGTCAGTGGTATGTCAATCGATGTGAATAGGGCGGTAATGTCAAATGACACCATGGTCTCGTCATCATCTATTCTTATGTCCTTGAGGGAATTGGGGAACTCCTGGGCTGAGTGGATTGAGTGAGATGACTTGCTGACGAGGTGCTTTAGACTTCGTTGTAACTCCTTGGCTAACCTGTGTGTTGGTGTGCCTGGGAGAGAGACTATGGGTCTGAGGGGTACTTCTGGTTTGTGTACCTTTGCGAGGCCATAGAATTGGGGGGTGTTCGTCCCTTCTGGTTTCATTTTTAGGTGGTCTGTTTTGTTGATTTGTCTGGTCTGTTTGAGTCTCTTTAGTGTGTAGATTATTTTATTACCCAGTTGTGGTGTCGGGTCTATTTGCACTTGCCAGTACGTGTTTGTGTCTGCTAGTAGTGTCTGTGCATTAGTGAGATAGTCCTGTTTGTTTGGTATTATGATGTTTTTGTCTTTTTTCAGTCCTTTGAGGGCCTTCCTTTCTGATGTGTTGAGAGTGTCAAATTCGCTCCTTCTGGTCAGTGACGGGACTATTGTCTGTCTTACGGCTTGTTGTGTTTCCTCATTGATGCTGTTGGTCTTCAGTGTGGCCTCTAGTGTGGCAAGAAATTCTGTCTTGTTAGCGTCTCTGTGGTGTAGTTGAATACACGTATTAGAACAGCTTTTTCTGTGTCTGTTAGTTTCCTGTCTGAAAGGCTTTTTTATCCAAGTGTCTGACCTATGGTTGTCCTTTTGGTGGGTTAGTTTGGCTAGTTTTTCTTGTAGGATCTGTGTTTTCTTGGTTCTTGTTATCTGTTGACTGACAATATTGGCTCATTCTAAGTCTGTTGTCCAGTCTAGGTTGGTAGCATCTAGGAATAGGGTTTTTTTGGCACATAATTTCTCTGTCATATCTATGGAGCCAGTTGTGTGCGTCGTTGATCATTGTCTTCACCATCCTGTGGCCACTGTGTTCTGCTGTCCTATATGTACGTGGGTTGTTGATGGGCGGCTTGTATCTCACACTGCGCGGTAATACCTGGTTCCTGAGGCATCCATGTAGGAAGTAGAGTTGGGTGGCACAGTGGTTAGTACTGCTGCCTCACAATGCCAGGAACCCAGGTTCAATTCCAGGCTTGGGTGACTGTCTGTGTCAAGTTTGCACGTTCTCCCTGTATCTGAGTGCTGCTGGATGCTCCAGTTTCCCACCCCAGTCCAAAGATGTGCAGGTTAGGTGGATTGGCCATGCTGAATTGCCCCTGAACCAAACACAGCATCCACAACTCGAGCTACAAATCTACTCAAGAACCTTAGACATCTGAATTTTTTCCTTACTTCACAAATATTGCTAGGCCTGCTTTGTTCCTCCAACACTTTGTTTTCATTTGAGAAAAAAAACATATAATGCCAAATGATCAGAGAATAGACAGGCACTGAGACATAACAGCTCATATGGCATAGTGAGAAGGCATGCCCATACAATGCCTTCCATATCTCAAGGAAGTCTCAGATATTTCAGTTCATTAATTACTTTTGAAGTGTTGTCACTATTATTGGGACATCAGTCAATTTGCACACAAGACACCCAAATTTGTTATGAGATAAACAATCTGTTTTGGAAAGACAGATTAATTTCAGGCAAGACACTAATTCACAAATGCAATTTACAAACAGTGGAAGTCCCAAGAATCATTTGTGGATTCTTCAATTTAGGATTCCCCTTTCTGACGACAGGATCTTCTCAAAACATTCCTCCTATTATCTTTCAGACGACTTACCCTTCCTAGATATCATTTCTAGATTTTACCTTTAATAGAGCTAAGCCACAGGCCACAGTTATTTAGTTAACAAATAAGGACATTTAGGATGGGCAAAATATGTCAACCTTCGCTGAGCGAATAGGTAATACACATTCTAAAACAGAAATAAAATATGGGATGTGCAAAAAGATGGTGTACGTTTTCAGGATGAATAATCTAAGAACGAGACTGGTTTCAAATGAATCTTCAAAGTCAAGCAGACTGAAACATAAAAAAGTCCAAACTGAAAAGTACTGGGACGATCAATAATTCAGCGTTAGAGTAAAATGACAAACGACAAATATATACATTTCAGCCGACAGGGTCTAAGATACTCACTTAGGTCCTCCAGTCAAAAAATTCATTACAAACTGAGCGCGAAACGAAATGACCAGTGAGAAAGGCGCTGAATGTTGTAATTCGGAGAAGGAAGACAAGACAGAGCCTAGAACCAGGGTTGGAGGGAGGGAGGAAGAGTGACGACCCGCCTTAGAACTGCGCCTGCGGGAGGTGCCAGGGCCAGAACCAGCGGCGAACTACCTCAGCACTGCGCCTGCGGGCTCCGGGGGGCGGGGCTTGAAGTCGCGCTCCGGTATCAACAGGCGCGCGCTTGGAACGGGGAGCGGTTGGTGACGTGACGTTAGCAGGAGCTTGCGCTTCAGTCCGAGTCGGAACCGGGGCGGAGTTGGATGCTATGTGAGGGAGTGAAAGGTGGGTTTTTTTTTAAATTGCTGTCTGTCCGTTCAGGCTTCAGCTCGTTCTATCAACTTGCACTGTCAGGGGATGGTGTTTACCACGTGCTGTGTTTTTGTTTTAAAACTCTCTCTTCCCCCTCTCTGTGTGTCTCAGGTGCGGTAGATATCTCCCACTCAGTCTGCCTGCACTCCGATCAGCAGCATCCTCCTGTCTCCCCACTGCTTTTTGCTCTAACCTGGCGAGTTTTGCAGTGTGAATGAGTTAAAGAGAATCCTGCGCTACTGTGTATTTGCCTAAAGTATATAAATTACGAAAGTTGCCAGGGTGGCAGTGTAGAGTTCGTGTAGTCGTTTTACCTTCATTTGTGTCTTTCCTCCGAGGTTCTCAAAAAAAACTATCCTCGGGGATCCAGAAAGCTTATTTTCACGTGTTTTTTTTAATGTTGAGAAGGCGACCTCCTGTCAGGTACATATTATGCTGCTACCTGTCCGTTCACGCCAGCGCCTGTTTCAGATGAAACTAAAACCATCCACAGACTCGCCTCGGTTATGTTTACGCAACCGAAGGAAATTAAGCCAGTCCAGCATACTGAGTTTTCAAAAGCGTACGATTTAAAAACAAATTGTAGTTTCGAGGATGACTTATCAAATTATTTTGATTGGGCTGTATGTTTGTTTCCATCTCTTTCTTCCCCCACCCATCCCCACATAATTAAAAACAATCATTCATGAGCTGAGAAATTCGTAGTTGATAATCGTTTTGCGTTTGTCCTAAGTTGATGCAATTCTGTTTGGGTGAGCGAAACTGATAGCGGTGGTACGATGCGTTCTTATTCACCTTAGGAGAAAGTGCCCCTGCCAAGAGTGCAAACAACCTGGGTAAATTAAAAGGGACCATGACAAGTGCAGTATGGATAAGCTGAAGGTCCTTGTGTGTGGTGCCATGATGACTTAACCTTACTGATAATAAGAATTATTTTTCGTTTTTAATGACGTGATGGTCAAGAAAGCACAAAGCCAGTACTACTTCAGGAGACTAGGGAAATTTGAAGTGTCTGTAAAGACTCTTAACAATTTTCATAGATGCACCATAGAAAGCATTCTGTCTGGATATATCACAGCTTGTTATGATAACTACTCTGCCTAGGACCTTAAACTAAGAGTTGTGACCACAGCCCAGTTCATCAAGCAAGACAACCTTCCATCCATCGACTCCATCTATATTTCCCACTGCCTCAGTAAGGCAGCCAACATAATCAAAGTTCACTCCGACCCCAGTTATAATCTCTTCCAACCTCATCTGTCAGGCAGAAGATACAAAAGCTTAAACACACTTACCAACAAGAACAGCTTCATCTCTGTTACTTGACTTCTGAGTGTACAGCTCAAATTTTAAATTTAATGTTGATTTCGCTTTTTGTGCACCTTCTCCGCAGCCATATCATTGTATTCTTCACTCTGTTCTAGTACCCTAATGCACTTTGTATGGTATGATCTGCCTTGTACTGCTTGCAAAACAAAACTCTTCACTGTACCCAGGTACATGTGACAATAATAATTTTTTAAAAATTCAAATACATAAAACACTGGAGAAACTCATCAAATCTGGCAGCATCCGTGGAAAGAGAGAGTTAATGTTTCCGATCTGGTATGATTTCTTCAGAACTGAAGAAGAACCCTCTCCACAGATGTTGCCAGACTTGCTAAGTTTGTCCAGAATTTTCTCTGTTTAGGATTTACATCATCCACAGTATTTTGCAGTTATTCAAATTTTTTAAAATTCAGTCACAGGATTTGGCAGTCACTGGCCAGATTCATGTTTATTGCTCGTCCTTCATTGTCTTTGAGAAGGTGGTGAGCCACTGTCCTGAACTATTTCAGGTCATGTGGGTTGGTGCTCCCACAATGCTGGGATGAAGGGTGTACAAGGGTTTACCCAATGAATGGTGTTACAATTTCAAGTCAGAATGGTGTGTGGCCTGGAGGGGTCTTTCCAAGCCGTGGTGTTCACATGTATCTGCTGCCTTTGTCCTTGGTGGTGGTAGACGTTGTGGGTTTGGAAGGTGCTGTTTAAGAACCCTTGATGAGTTACTTCAGTATTTCTTATAAATTGCACACATTACTACTATTGTGCATTGGTGGCAGGGGGATCAAGCAGGCTGTTTTGTCCTGGAGTTTGTGAAGCCTTTTGAGTGTTGTGATTGCTGCAATCGTCCAGACAAGTGGGGAGTATTTCATCAACTCCTGACATTGTGTCTTGTAGACTGACATTGGGAAGTCAGGAGTTGAGGCAATCACTGTAGAATTGCAATATCCTTGTTCTTTTTATATTTGTTCTTATGTGATCACTAACTGTTTGTGTTGTAGGAGACATGAATGATGCTAAGTGTTGTACAAACATCCCCGCTTTTGATCTGGGTAAATGGTGCCCACCACTCTCAGAAGATGTTGTGTGTTTTGAGATATTTGATTCCATTGCACATGCTATGTAAATACAAAGTTATTGGATATAACTCGAAGTGCAGAGTTCCCAAAATGGTGGTCCAACATTTAAAGTACTCTGTCCTAATGCTGCAGTCAAAAATAATGTGAAAATGCTAGTTGATACAGATATTCATCAGAGAAGTAGGTGGTTGCCTTGTAAAAATGAATAATGTCATCGAAGGTTACTTGAGAGAGGTCAGATACATAAATTATGTGGAGCTTATGGCGGGAAAGGGGGATAAAACTGAAAACAGTTTGGAAGAGTTCCATTAAATTAGAGATAATCCTAGAACCAGTCCAACTCTCAATGGATTCGTTTGCATTCATTACACCAATGCCGATGAAGTCATTTCCCATGTGGCTCTGCAAAGTGAGATTACCTCATCGTTATTGATGAAAACGCAGCTGTATAATGTGAACTAAACATATTTTCAGCATTACCTTCTAAATCCACAACCCCCTGACGTAGAAGGAAAGGGGTAGTACTGTATTGGAACGCAGCTCCTCAAACTCTCCCCTTGTTCATACCCCTGTGGACTGCAGCAGTTCAAGAAGGTATCACATTACCACCTGCTTGGTGTCTTTTTTTTCTATTCGTTTTGTGGGATGTGGGCGTTGCTGGCTGGTCAGCATTTCTTGCCCATCCCTAGTTGCCCCTGAGAAGGTGGTGGTGAGCTGCCTTCTTGAACCGAAGGGATTGACAGCAAATGCAATTTTAGCTAGCGACGTATGGATTCCATGAATGAATAAATAAAAAATCTCAACTTGATGTGTTCGGGGAATATGTTAAATTGTTTTAGTACGATAACAATTTAGGTGTTGTCAGTCCCAGATTACAGTATGTATCAGTGAATGTGAGAATGTTGAGGGAATGGTTTTTTAAAAAAAAAAGTAGCAGCATTGGAAAAGTCAAGTTTGAATGACAGAATTGATATGGAGCATAACAAGGCCATTAGGTACATTGTGTCTGTATGAAGATGAAGCAGTATAGATGAAAGTTTCAGCAACAATAATTTATATTTGTATAGCTCGGACATCAAACCGTCGTGACAGAATTCTACAGCTTTAGGAATACTGCCATAGAAACCTAGAAAATATGAGCAGGAGTAGGCCATTCAGCCCTTCAAGCCTATTCTGCCATTCAGAATGATCATGGCTGAGCATCCAACTCATTAATCTGTTCCCACATTCTCCCATACCCTATGATCTGTTTAATGCTAAGAACTATATCTAACGCCTCTTTGAAAACATTCAATATTTTGGCCTCAAACACTTTCTGTGGCAGGTTCCACGGGCTCGCTGCTATGTGTTTGAAAAAAAATCTCCTCATAGAATCCCTACAGCGTGGAAGCAGGTCATTCAGCCCGTGGAGTTCACACCAGCCCTCCGAAGAGCAGCCCAACAAGACTGACACCCTACCCTGTCTCTGTAGCCCTGCTTTTCCCATGACTAAGCCACCTAGTCTGCACATCCCTGGACACTATGGCCAATTTAGCATGGCTAATTCACCTAACCTGCACATCTTTAGGCTGTGGGATGGAAACCAGACCACCCAGAGGAAACCCACGCAGACGCGGGGAGAATGTGCAAACTCCACGCAGGCAGTCACTCGTGGGTGGAATTGAACCCGGGTCCTTGGTGCTGTGAGGCAGCAGTGCAAATCACTGAGCCACCGTGCTGCCCATCTCAATCCTAAATGGTCTAGACTATATTCTTAGACTGGGGCCACTGGTTTTGGGCTCCATGGTGATAGGAGACCTCTACCCTGTATTTACACTGAATTTTATAGGTTTCCGTTCCCCCTCAATCTTCCAAATTCTAACAAATATAATCCTAACTGATCCAGTCTCTCTCCATATGTCAATCCTGCCATCGTAGGAATTAGACTGGTAAACCTTCATTGTATACCCTCCCTAGCCAGAACACCCTTTCTCAGATAAGGAGATCAAAACTGAACGCAGTACTCCAGGGTGGTCTCACCAAGACCCTTTAATTGCAACAAGTCATCGCTGCTCCTGTACTTAATCATCTCGCTATAAAAGCAAATATACGGTTTTCTGCCTTCACTGCCTGTTGCACCTGCATGCATATTTT